AAATGGATACATTGGGACTTCAGAGAATATTTTGTTTAAATTCAGCAGTTCAGCAGACCATAGAATAATGTTCTCTTACTTCAGCTTTTATATTCCATCCTTCCTGGCTCATTTGGAAAGTAAATTCCTCTAGAAAATTCTGCTGAAGGAGTTTCTCTTACAGGGAAAATGTTCCCTAGTTAGAGCCCTTCATTTTTCTCTTCTCTCTTATAGCTGTGAATCTTATCATATATCTAGTTAATGCAAACATTTTAACCAGCTGGTGACGATAACTCATAGCTTAGAAAACGCATTTCAAAAATTTATGTTGAGAAGCATAAGGTTTAGAAAATGCTGTTTTCTTTTAGTTACAGTGCATATAGTTCCATTCTTTTTTGCCCTGTTGGGATTAAGAAAAATTATGGTAACAAGTGTTTTCTTCCTTTGCTAGCTGCCCCCTATGAAATTATTTCCTTAGTAAATAATATTATAGTATTACTAGTTTGGTGGTGTTCTATATGTGGTTGTTTGGAAATAAATTCGTTTTCAGAATTTCTTGACTGCTCTCGTTGGGAGAGATGGTGGTTTTGGTTGTGGGTAATGGTGGTAGACCTGTGTGTGTGTCACGAAGCATCCCAGATCCCACAGCCCCAAACACGTTTCCTCTGGGGTAGGGCATGAGGTTGTGGGTGGGAGGGGAAAGCACTGACAGAGTTGCTGACAGTAGGCACTTCAGCAGCCATAGTCATGCTGGATCGCAGTGGCATTTCTGTGCGCTGTGATAGGCGCACCATCCTGGGAATGTTACCACTTCTTGCCCTGGGTGTTCTGTCGAGGTGTTAAAAAAGAAAACATCCTCCTCCCGCCTTCCAGCTGAGACACCCATTTGGGGAGCTGGTGTCTTGGTTAGACACATCCAATAAACAGCTCCAGGACTCAGGTGACAGGCTCTAAAAAAGGTCTTATATGTTTGCATTATGTTTTTGTGACATATATCTGTGATAAAGAACTGAAAATACTCCTGAATTATTTTCCTTTCTCAAGTGGTTGACTTATGGCCAACTACTTGAATGTTAAGTGTTTTTCTTTTTTTAATATAAGTAGTTCTGTAAAGCCCAAAGATAAAAGGAGTTACTGTTTTACTGTTTTAAAGAATACCCCCCCCAGTCCGCTGTAACTCTTTGGTTTTAAAAAAGATTATTAGTATTGGCAGATTATTAGAACGGAGATTTTGCTGTTCGAGAAGCTTAGTTGCCTGCTAAGAATCCCAGTTCCCATCCAATTTCAGTTAAAGACGTTGCGAAGTCTTGGACATGCTTTGTCGTCTTCTTTCTCTTCCTTCATGGTCTTCAGATCATTAAATTCAGTGACTCAGCTAATTCTTTTATTCACCTCTTAGAAAAGTTGAATGTGTTTGTGACCAAGCACTTAAGGTTATTTCCTTTAAACCAAGTGTTTGAGGCGTTTTTAGATTTATACAGGCTTTGTTTACTGTGTAATTCAGTCCAATTGAGGAACTAGTAAAACTGCATTATCCAGACATCAAAGACGGATTTGTAAGAAGAGCATACTTATACCAGGAAACCTATTAGGTTTCTAACAAGTAGAAAGTTACCAGGTGTCCAAAAATTAACCACTCCTATGCCAGCATTTTTGCCTTTTTTCTTTTTTGTAGCTTTTAAAAGTCAGCATTCTGGGTTTAAAATAATCAGTTGCTACATTCTTGAGTCCAGAATGTTGCTTTCTGTAGCTTTCTTCAGATAACTGAGACTTTGACTTCAATGGACTACACAGAGTACATGCCATTTAAAAAATATAACTAAATAGGTGTTGAATGGATAATAAATACATTTTAGTTTAGTTCAAAATTGAGTCAATATCTTTATGTCTTGAGTTTTATGAACAGTTTGGGGTGGGCTTTCCTGAGATTTCTATGAAGGGAGATGATTCGGCCCACTTTACAGACAATAAGTGGACTGATTTGCCAGGTGCGTGCAGCAGTCACCTGAAGTAGGACCCATGTCACCAAGTTGCATTTCAAGAATGGTCAAGTGGGTGGCCTTGAGTCCTGCCAGACCCAGGGGTGAAGAACTGATAGAGCAGAGCCCTGTTATGGGAGCAGCACCCTTGACTGCCTGAAACCTTTATCAACATTCCCGTCTGAGGCTCCATTAAACCCCATTTCCTCACGGGCAGAAACAAAATTGTATTTGTGCAAAAGCACCTACATTTTGTTCACAGCTTTCCTTTTCAGGTGTTCCAGAGGGTATGTATAAACATGCTTTATTTAGGTGTCGGTAAGCATCTTATCATTTCACTTAGGTAAGCGGTCCCCTGGGAGGTTTGGGGAGGGGAAGGTTTGTTGTGTCTCTCCCGCGGATGCCTGCTTGCTCCTGGAACTTGCCTTCTTTAGGAGCACGCCAGTAGATTATCAGGAGGCGATTGCCCCACAGTCCCTGAGCTTTTTTGTTTGAAAATGTCACATACCACATCTAGCCACATTTCGTTTCCATAGAGGGTTTGGCTTTCTGAGCTATCAAAGGAAGATATGGTTGTTTGGGAAAGGCCTGTGAAGTTATCATAGAGGACAGCTGTGCTCTCCCATTCATTGCCCCCCTGTCTCAGAGTAACATGTGGTGGTCTGACTTCCTAGGACGATTCTTATGAACTAGGCCACAAAAACATATTAAAGTTATGGAAATACTGTGTTCCTTCATAAATGAGATTCAGAAGAAAATTGTTCTGTTTGTTTATTTTGAATTCTCCTCTTTGGGAGATCTCAGGAGACTCGTCATTTGGCTGCAGGTTCAGCAATTACAAAGTCATATTTGCGCATCTAAATAGACGGCAGTGCAGTATAAACAGTAGTAGCAAGGCCACTGCTGTTGTGGTTCAGTGGGTTGGGTGTCATCCTACAGACCGAAGGGTTGCTGGTTCGATTCCTAGTCTAGGCACATGCCCTGGGTTGTGGGTTCAGTCCACAGTTGGGGCATGTACAGAAGACAACCAATCGATGTTTTTCTTTCACGTCAATGATTCTCTCCCTCCATCCTCCCCATCTTAAAAAAAACAAAACCAAAACAATAGTAGCCAAAAGACCATTTCTGTAGGGGCAGCCAAAGACTACACATTTGACTTACTTCAGCTGGAAGGTTGTTAAGGACTTTGTAAGACGTCATAACACCGCGTTACTTCATCTATTCAGACTTTAAATCCTGTGCAGTGCCACTTTTCAGCCACTGCCTGTGCTTCCATAACCTTCAGGGGGAATCCAAACTCTTTGTTAAGTGGCGTAACCGGGCCCCTGCTCACTGGCTAACATAGCTCACCCGTCTCCTCCCTGCACACACTTGTTTCACACGTTGTTCCCCCTTTTTTTTCTGGGGAGGGAGGAGTCTTTGCACATTTCATTTCTCCTGCTTCAGGTCTCACCTGAGATGGAAAGCTTTTCTTTCAGAAAGGCTTTCCTAAATCTGAAAGGGTGGGCTTGTCTTTGGGGACAAGTCTTTGGGGACTCTAGTCACTCTCTCTGTGAGTGTCTGTGTCAAGCGCTGTGTCACAGGCTGAGGGCGCAGAGGTGAGCAAGGCAGGGGTGCGCCTTGTCCTCCCAAGGCTTATGTTTTTGTCAGGGAAACCACTCCACATTCACACCCTCACAAAAACAACTTATCTGGAAATAACTACAGGCTTGTAGAAGGTTGCAAAAATTAAAATAGCACAAAGAAATATACACTTTGCCCAAATTCACCTGTTGTTAATGTTTTATTTGCATTCTTTCTCTCTATATATACCTAATGTTTTTTTCTGGACTATCAAGTACATTATGGCCTTTTTTTCCCAAAATACTTGAGTGTATATCCTAAGAGTGGGGCTGTTCTCTCACATGATAGTTACCAACTTCATACATTTACATTGATAAACTACTTTTATCTGATGTTTTGTTATAGTCCAGTGTTGTTCATTGATCTAATAATGTCCTCTGTGGTCCCCACCCCCCCCTTCTGGAGCCAAATTCAGCTTAGGGTCAGGTGATTGCATTCAATAAGGCGGTTTCTTTTTTTTTCTTTTTCCTTTTTTTCTTTTTAGTAAGGGCGTTTCTTTAGCCTCTCTTAATCTGTAATGTTTGCATAGCCATTCTCTGTCAATGATGACATTGATGTCTTTTGAAAAGTATAGTGTGGCCCCCATTTCTTAAACAGAATCTTGCTCATTTTGTGTTTTTTTATGTCTCCTTGTGATTCGGATGCACCAATGGATTCTAGGCCCTCACACTGCAGAGAGATTATCCTCCTGGGGGATCACAGCTGAGGTCTGTGACGTCCTTCCAGCCCTCTTTGTTGATGATAATTTTTATTACCCAAAGTGTCGCCTACTTTCTCCACTGTATAATTAGTGGGTTTTTAAAAATTCTTCCCTTTGCATCTAATGAGTGGTCTTTCAGAGGACACCTCAATTCCATGCAAATGCCCTGTTCCTCCTCAAAATTTCCCTAAGTGATGATTCTTGTCTGACCCAGTAGTGTGACCTGAAGGTTTCTATTTTTTTTGCAGTGGGTCATGATTTGTTACTGTACTTAATTGTTTTGGTGCTCAGCTTGTCCCAGATACGACCTTAGGAAGCCCCTTTGACTTGCGCCCGCATCCTTGTGAGGCGCCCTATCATTTTTGCGAGCACTTCCTTTCTTGCAGAACAATACGTTCCATGCTTATCTTGTACCAACCCTGCCCTAGCCCTGGGATCAGATGTTTTTCCAAGGAGCCCTCAAACCCTTGTTTTAGCACGTAGCACACCTGCTTACTTATGTATCTTCCTCCGTTAGATAACATTGTCCCTCTCTGAGGGTCCTTCCATGTCAGTCTTACTCATCACCCCTACATCTTCACCCAGCATTAGGCCTCGCACATTCAGTGTTTACTGTGAGTATTCGTTGAATAAGAACATCAATTTTTGCTATAGTTCATTGATTATAATTGGGTTCCAAAATGATGATGCTGATGGTTTTCTATTTTTTCCCCATCTAGGAAGAAATGTTGGCTATTTGGTGATGAAAAGTGACAAAAACTGACCTTGTACTGGTATACAAACACTATGGGACCTGACACTTTGGCTGTGTGGGCTGCCGGCCCCCACTGATAATGCTGGGAAGCCGTCAGGTCCACTGGAAAACACTAATCTGATCTCGGAAGTGGCTGATCGTGGCAGGATGTGTCGACGATGATGATGGCAAGAAAGCAAGATGTCCGCATTCCCACCTACAACATCAGTGTGGTGGGATTGTCTGGGACGGAGAAGGAGAAGGGCCAGTGTGGCATTGGGAAGTCCTGTCTGTGCAACCGCTTTGTGCGCCCAAGTGCTGATGAATTTCACTTGGACCATACCTCTGTCCTCAGCACCAGTGACTTTGGTGGGCGAGTGGTCAACAATGACCACTTTCTGTACTGGGGAGAAGTTAGCCGATCCCTGGAGGATTGCATGGAATGTAAGATGCACATCGTGGAGCAGACTGAATTCATCGATGATCAAACTTTTCAACCTCATCGAAGCACGGCCCTGCAGCCCTATATCAAGAGAGCTGCTGCGACCAAGCTGGCATCGGCTGAAAAACTCATGTACTTTTGCACTGACCAGCTGGGGCTGGAGCAGGACTTTGAGCAGAAACAAATGCCAGATGGAAAGCTGCTAATTGATGGTTTTCTTCTTGGTATTGACGTTAGCAGGGGCATGAATAGGAACTTTGATGACCAGCTCAAGTTTGTCTCCAATCTATACAATCAGCTTGCAAAAACAAAAAAACCCATAGTGGTGGTCCTGACTAAGTGTGACGAGGGCGTTGAGCGGTACATTAGAGATGCACATACTTTTGCCTTAAGCAAAAAGAACCTCCAGGTTGTGGAGACCTCAGCAAGATCCAACGTAAATGTGGACTTGGCTTTTAGCACCTTAGTGCAACTCATTGATAAAAGTCGGGGAAAGACGAAAATCATTCCTTACTTTGAAGCTCTCAAGCAGCAGAGTCAGCAGATAGCTACGGCAAAAGACAAATATGAGTGGCTGGTGAGTCGCATTGTGAAAAATCACAACGAGAATTGGCTAAGTGTCAGCCGAAAGATGCAGGCCTCTCCCGAGTACCAGGACTATGTCTACCTGGAAGGGACTCAGAAAGCCAGGAAGCTATTTCTCCAGCACATCCACCGCCTCAAGCACGAGCATATTGAGCGCAGAAGGAAGTTGTACCTGGCAGCCCTGCCGTTAGCTTTTGAAGCTCTTATACCTAATCTAGATGAAATAGACCACCTAAGCTGCATAAAAGCCAAAAAACTCTTGGAGACCAAGTCAGAGTTCTTGAAGTGGTTTGTTGTACTTGAGGAGACCCCATGGGATGCCACCAGCCACATTGACAACATGGAGAACGAGCGGATTCCCTTTGATTTAATGGATACAGTTCCTGCAGAGCAGCTGTATGAGACCCACTTAGAGAAACTACGGAACGAGAGGAAAAGAGCTGAGATGAGAAGAGCATTTAAAGAAAACTTGGAGACCTCGCCTTTCATAACTCCCGGAAAGCCCTGGGAAGAGGCCCGTAGTTTCATCATGAATGAAGATTTCTACCAGTGGCTGGAAGAATCTGTATATATGGATATCTATGGCAAACACCAAAAGCAGATTATAGACAGAGCCAAGGAAGAGTTCCAGGAGCTGCTTCTGGAATATTCAGAATTGTTCTATGAGCTGGAGCTGGATGCAAAGCCCAGCAAGGAGAAAATGGGGGTCATTCAGGATGTTCTGGGAGAGGAACAGCGATTTAAAGCATTACAGAAGCTCCAAGCGGAGCGCGATGCCCTTATTCTGAAGCACATTCATTTTGTGTACCACCCAACAAAGGAAACGTGTCCTAGCTGCCCGGCTTGTGTGGATGCTAAGATTGAGCACTTAATTAGTTCTCGGTTTATCCGGCCATGTGACCGGAATCAGAAAAATTCACTCTCTGACCCCAACATTGATCGAATTAACTTGGTTATCTTGGGCAAAGATGGTCTTGCCCGAGAGTTGGCCAATGAGATTCGAGCTCTTTGTACAAATGATGACAAGTATGTGATAGATGGTAAAATGTATGAGCTTTCCCTGAGGCCAATAGAAGGGAATGTCAGGCTTCCAGTGAACTCTTTTCAGACGCCAACATTTCAGCCCCATGGATGTCTCTGCCTCTATAATTCAAAGGAGTCTCTGTCCTACGTGGTGGAGAGCATAGAGAAGAGTAGAGAGTCCACACTCGGCAGGAGAGATAATCACCTAGTCCATCTCCCCCTGACGTTAATTTTGGTTAACAAAAGAGGAGACACCAGTGGAGAGACCCTGCACAGCTTAATCCAACAAGGTCAGCAGATTGCTAGCAAACTTCAGTGTGTCTTTCTGGACCCCGCTTCTGCTGGCATCGGTTATGGGCGCAACATTAACGAAAAACAAATCAGTCAAGTTTTGAAAGGACTCTTGGACTCTAAGCGTAACTTAAACCTGGTCAGTTCTACCGCCAGCATCAAAGATCTGGCCGATGTTGACCTGAGAATTGTCATGTGTCTGATGTGTGGAGATCCTTTTAGTGCAGACGACATACTCTTTCCTGTCCTTCAGTCCCAAACCTGCAAATCTTCGCATTGTGGAAGCAACAACTCTGTTTTACTTGAACTACCAATCGGACTACACAAGAAGCGCATTGAACTGTCTATTCTTTCATACCATTCCTCGTTTAGCGTCAGAAAAAGCCGGTTGGTCCATGGGTACATTGTTTTTTATTCAGCCAAACGTAAGGCCTCCTTGGCTATGTTACGTGCCTTTCTTTGTGAAGTGCAGGATATTATCCCCGTTCAGCTGGTTGCACTCACTGACGGCGCTATAGATGTCTTGGACAATGACTTAAGTAGGGAGCAGCTGACCGAGGGGGAAGAGATTGCTCAAGAAATTGATGGCAGATTCACAAGCATCCCCTGTAGCCAACCCCAGCATAAACTTGAGCTCTTCCACCCGTTTTTTAAAGATGTGGTGGAGAAAAAGAACATCATCGAGGCCACTCATATGTACGATAATGTTGCCGAGGCCTGCAGCACCACAGAGGAGGTGTTTAACTCCCCCCGGGCGGGCTCCCCACTCTGCAACTCAAACCTGCAGGATTCGGAAGAGGATATTGAGCCCCCTTCTTACGGCCTATTTCGAGAAGACACACCACTGCCCTCCCTGTCCAAAGACCATTCTAAGCTCTCTATGGAACTGGAGGTAAATGATGGGCTGTCTTTCATCATGAGCAACTTTGAGAGTAAACTGAACAACAAAGTACCTCCACCAGTCAAACCAAAGCCTCCTGTCCATTTTGAAATTACGAAGGGGGATCTGTCTTACTTAGACCAAGGCCATAGAGATGGGCAGAGGAAGTCTCTGTCTTCTAGCACCTGGTTACCTCCGGATGGGTTCGATCCTTCTGATTATGCCGAACCCATGGATGCTGTGGTCAAGCCGAGGAATGAAGAAGAAAACATATACTCTGTGCCCCATGACAGCACCCAAGGCAAGATCATCACCATTCGGAATATCAACAAAGCCCAGTCTAACGGCAGTGGGAATGGTTCCGACAGCGAAATGGACACCAGCTCTTTAGAGCGAGGCCGCAAAGTATCCATCGTGAGCAAGCCAGTGCTATACAGGACGAGATGCAGCCGGCTGGGGAGGTTTGCTAGTTACCGAACCAGCTTCAGTGTGGGGAGCGATGATGAGCTGGGGCCCATCCGGAAGAAAGAGGAGGACCAAGCATCCCAGGGTTATAAAGGGGACAATGCTGTCATTCCGTATGAAACGGATGAAGACCCACGGAGGAGGAATATTCTTCGCAGTCTAAGAAGAAACACTAAGGTAAGACGTCAGTTTAGAAATGAATCATAGGAATGGCTTGCAGAGTGTCTCAGTGAGAGTCGATTGATGATGATGGTTTTCAGGGACAACTTAACTCTGGTAAAAATTAAAAATCTACTCTGTGGGTGTGTATACTCTTTGACTTATAAAAAAGTAAGCAGTGTTTCTGGTAGCTACTATTGGCAGCTCTCAATGGTGAGACCTTAGATAGACAGCCCAAGTTGTCTTTGTTCAAAATGATAATTAATAATTACCAAAATGAGCAGACAGTGTTGAATTTGCCAAGTGTCCTGACAAGTGGCCAAGTCAGTGACGATATGCTTGCTCTTCCTTCACTGAAATACCAGAATCTGAAATTGTGTGCCTCAGCCACTCACTTGTTCCCCTTCCCCGTAAGGTTACTGCATTTTTTTAGGAAAAATTGATAATTATTTTATTAGCACACACAAATCAGTAGAAGGTCTTCAAGTACATAAGTGGAAACTAGGGACCTTTACCACTGAGAGTTCTAACCCTGTCCCGCATTTGCCACGCCCGGAAGGGGCAGGGCAGTGTCACTGTGTGTTCTGTCTCCTCTCACTCTGAACTGAGTGCTAGTAAATATCATAGGCGTTCTTTTCCTGTCCAGTTTCCCCTTGGTTTGGTTTTTCCACTTGGATTCCTTCATCTGCCTTCAGTATTTTGTTCTCCAAAGGTTGGGAGTGGACAGACCCATTGAAAGCATGAAGCCAGAGAAAGCCCGACCTGCCTCCCGGTATTTCCCTAAAGCTCTCCTGTGGAATGACACTGGGATGCAGACATTCTGAACGTTTTCCCTTCCTCCTCCACTCCCTGTGCGCCAGAACAGCTTCTCGAAATGCTGATGGTCTTCTAATTTGGGGGGCTGTTTGCACACCTGGGAATTAGGATGGCAGCATAATAGTAGCATGCTGTGAATTAGAACTGTTTTTTGTGACCTCTACATTTTTAATACCTGTTGAAAATAATGCTTTTAAAACACATTCCCAAACAAGCCGTGCTTTCAAGAGCCCACACCGTGTAGGCTCAGCAGAAAACAGCTGGGTATGGTGAGCCTCAGAGATGGCTGCGTTCATGCTGGTAGCGAGCACTTTTTACCTAAGAACTTTGTTACTCAGGGTTGCTGGCTCAGCATGCAAGAAGTGATTGCCTTTCCGTCTATCTTAGTTATGTGGGCCACACCTCTTCGAGTCAAATAAAAATGATACCTCTGGCCCAAGAGCAATAGCGTGCCAGAAGTCAGTTTAGGAGTATCCTTTGGAAAGAGTGAGTAAAAGGTGAAATTGTCTTTTCCTGTCTTGGAAAATGGCACTTTGAAATGAGTATAGTTGCTTTGTCATCTTAATGCAGAGATAAGCAAAGCTTTGATTCTTTTCCTGGTTGGAGCAAACTGCCAATTAAAATTGCTGCCATTAATATAGACTGACACTTGTTTTACTGGAAAAGCAAGATACCATGGGCCAGGGAATGTCATGCCAGCCCCTACGTGGGGGACTTGGCCTTTGATTTTTATTGGCATGACAAAGCAATAAGTATTTATTTGAAGTGAGGGGGAGCCAGTTGGTAATGGAAAGCACACCTAGTGCTTCCTGCATGCCAGACAACCCTGGGGGAGATGGCGTGGGTCCTTCTTGCCCAGACCTACACACCCAGTTGAGCCAGCAAGACCTACACAGAAAATAGGTGGTCTGCCCAGGGGGCGCTGTGTTGAGGCAGAGCAGAAATCCCCTGTTGGGGTGGTTAAGGTAGTGTAGTGTGTGATTAGGAGCCCAGGCTCTGGGGGTGGGGGTGGGAAAGGCTAAATGCCAAGTCCTCCACTTCCTCGCTGGGACTTTGGGCAGGTGATTCACCTCTCCACATCTCTGCTGCAGAAGGGGAGAACAGAGTGGTACCTTCCTCATAGGGTTGTGGGGAATGGAATGAGATTATGTACAAAGAATACTGAGCATACTGCATGCTGGCTAAGCATTAGTTACGACATTATTTAACTAGACCTTGGAGAAAGGTATTGAAAAGCTAGAAGATGAAAAAATGCACGTTTTATTCAAAGAAAAGAGAAAACTGGTCTGGTGTAGCTGTGGGCTTGGGGGACCAACATTATCCTGCCCTTTTGTGCAAATTTTAACCCCATGTGTTACTTAGCTGCTTTTTCAGCACTCACTCGAGCAACCGTCCAAACAACAACAAAAAACTACACTCCGGGTACCAGAGTGATGTGGAGAAAGAGAAATTGCTCGGCCTCTTGGCTCATTTGCTAGATTAGCTCTTTACTGTAAAATTGGACTTGGAGTGAGGGACTCGCTTTCATTTCTGCTAATGAAAGTGCAGACTGTAGAGCTGACTCTCATTCTGGGTCCTTTTCCCAGCTGAACCATTTAGCAACCCAGTCTCATAGTGGGAGCCTTCCGCACTCAGCTGAATGAAATTGAAAATCTACGATTGCACTTCAGTGGGGTCCATGAATAGATGCTTTGTCTGTAAAGAGTTGTTGTTGCACATGGTCTCTGTCTCCCAGTGCCATGCGTTTGCAAAGAGGGGAATCAGGACCGGCAGGGTCTTATTTTAAAGCCAAAAACCGGCTGGGGTGCCTTGTTCCACAAAATGTGCCTTTTGGGCAGGTTCGAATTGCTGAATTTAGTGTGTTTGACCACAGATTAAAGAGAAGCCATTATTGGTTATTTACCCTTCTATCTTATGTGCTCTTATTTTTGTGTAAAAAAAAAAAAACAATGATAAAGAAAATCTTTCACTCACTGGAGCTACCACATGACAAGACAACCTATTGAAAAGCAAACTGATTCAATCACACATTGTTTGGTCTATAAGGCAGCAAGTAGCCAGTTTGACAGTTTGTGTGTCCCATTCCCCCTGCAAGTGAATTGGCTTATTTAATTGGATTCAGTGAATTGGCTGGTTGTTGTGGCTTTGTGTGGACACAGCTCTCATTTTGTGAGGCCTAGAACGGGAGTTAAAAGTTTCTAGTGTGAATAAAAACCAGCTGGGGAATTGGGCTGCTCCCTCCCCAGAGAGGGATGTTGCATTTTGACAGACAGGCTGAATGGTATGAAATATGATCTCTTTGTAACCTTCTCAGGAAAGACTCAGTGTATGCTTCCAAAAGGCTAGTTCTACTTAATGAGCTGTGAGGCCAAATAAATACCTTGGGTTTTCTGATTCCTACATGGATTTTATCTTTTATTTATTTTTTAACTCTTTTTTTAATTTTTATTTTATTTTATTTATTTATCTTTAGAAGGGAAGAGAAGGAGAGAAATATCAATGTATGGTTGCTTCTGGTGCATCCCCTACTGGGAACTGGCCTGCAACCCAGGCATGTGCCCTGATGGGGAATCGAACCGTGATCTTTTGGTTCGCAGGCCCATGCTCAGTCCATCGAGCTGCACCAGCCAGGGCGGATTTTATTTTTTAAAAGCAATACTTTTGCTCCAGTGCTCATTCATTCTTTTAGGAAGGAAACAATTCAATGCATAGGCATTTAGTGAGCATTTGTGTTCATCTACTTCACGTCACAGGGACGACAGATGATAAACAAGTACTTATGTTCATTCTGAATGTTACCAGAATGCTGTGGAGTTCTGTGCCAAGGCATTTTAATCTCAATTAGGATATCTGGGAAAGCTCCCTTAAAGAAACAATATATAAAGCTGGGATTTACAGGGTGGGGCAGGCAGAGTCAATGAGGATAGAGGTTTCATGGGGAGAACTTTGGAGAAAGTAGTATGGTGCTCCGAGCTGCAAAGACATGGCATGTTCAAAAAGTTTAAAGAAACCTAGCATGGCTGCTGCAGAAAGTGAGGCAGAGCCAGGGCTGTTCACATCGTGTGAAGGGTTGTGCTTTGCTGCCTCTGAGTGCTGGGTGTGGTACCAGGCTTTCATGTCAGTTTTTCATCCCTCTCGCTCATAAGTCTGAATGAAGTAATTTTTAGAATTTTGTGTTTTAGAGATGACAAAACAGGGTTTAATCTCTCTAAGATTAAACACCCTGCCCAAGCCAGTGTAGTGACTAAATGGAGGAGCCGAGATTTTGAAGCCCTGTCCACTGACTTGCACTTTCACTGGGTTTTTTAGACTCCGGTCTACAAGAAAGATGGGAATATTTGGTAGCCAGGCATATATTTGGACCACTCAGTGAGTCCGGTCGATTTCTTCCTCTTGGACGAAGGACTTTGATTATTATCTGGGAAAAATCCATTTCCCCACACTGCCTCCTAAGAACAACAGGGTGCTGTTTGTTTCTAGCTTCAGAGTCCAGCTGAGTAGAGGACAGACAAGACATGGAGGCACTGAAATAGTGACTGGGACTTTGAGAAATTGTTTTCAACTGGTATCATTTGTTTCTCAATTTATTTTAAGCCCAAAGCACTGCTATAGTGTGTTTGGTGACAAAAATAGACTATAACTATCTGCCCTTGCTTATGGCATACCTACTCTTAAAAAAAATATATATATTACAGTGGCAACCCAAATCTGTTTTCAAAGATCAGGGAATTACTCCGATCTTAACTGAGCCACCATGTTCTCCTCCAACCTCTAGTGATACTGCAGTGTCTTTGTAAGGACCCAGAGTATTTCAGCTCAGTCAGGAGTCACCTCCACTTCTGCAGAGAAAGGCCTTCTGAATATGGTTTCTCCAGTGCTGGAGAGGAGGCGAGCAGGTAAAAACTGTAAGGCTAGTAAGTCCACGTTCAGTGAATGTTGAGTGAGGAAGGACGTTTGTGAGAACTTTCCTCAACTAGTAGACAGCCCCCCCACTGCCCTCTTTGCCCCCCGTCTCATTGGCCATTCAGTCTGAAACAGCAAGGGGGATTGACCCAGATTTGCTAGATGTTATGCCTTTATAGAGCAAAACGCTGTGGTATTAGTTTATTAGAGGCCCCTGAGGGGACAACCTTCCTTTCTTTATTTTTCCCCCCATCATGCGAGAGGATTAGGGATGCTAGGAAGGCTGAGACTTCATGCCA